TAGGACCATCTTCCAACCCATAAATCCATACTCATAACATGTGGAACCATACCAAGGGTCCTTCACATGATATATACTTCATATGGTAGAAGAAAAAATAAAGGAAGAGTTATGATAAGGTCATTACCTTAATCTTCTTACACTACTAGCACTTTAGCTCCTTTTCTTGGGATTCCTTCTTGTTGAGCTCTCTTCAACAATGGAGAAGGAAGGTGGAAAGCTCTCTTTCTCTTGCTGGATTAAGGCTGGCCAAAAATTAGGGAGAGAGGGGGATGGGGTTGTCCTTTGTCTCATTGATCAATGAGTATACATGGGGGTCCACCTCTTTTTGTTTGATGCCTTTTATTTCACTTCACACACACCTCTCCCATGCCTCTCTATCACTCCAGCCGGCCAAGCCCTCCATTTGAGTGGCAAAAAACGTGGTTTGGCCCCCACCCATGTGGGAGGTCAACCCTTTTCGTCCCGAAGTGTACAATTTGTCCCGAAAGTTGTATTTTTCGGACTGTTTTAAATATATTTTATTTTATCGGGTCAAATAAAATATATTATGTGCTCTTATTCATTATGACATTTATAATGAATATACATTCCTCATCTTTAATCTATAAGCCTCCGAAATTCAGTTCGGGCTGTTATCTGTTAAATTACCAGTACCGGTAATTTTGGCCTCTTTTGACCAATCGGTCAACTCTGGGCCTTTCCAGGGCCCAAATGAAATATCCACCACTATATATTTATTATCTAGACCAAGATGAATAAGATATATGGTCTCAGGGATGTCGGGCGGCCCCCGCTCCCGGTGTGGGCCCCACGTGCAATTTATTATTCACGCGAAAGAATTAATAAAAATTTACAACTTCGTAAATTCATAAATCATTCCATAAGGTTTATTACATCATTTACTTGAAAGTAAATACATTTGGGGACGGTGTTACAAGTTCACCCCCCCTTATTTGGGATTTCGTCCCCGAAATCCATGTGTCTAATCGAAAAGAAATGGGTATTGCTCCCTCATTGAGACCCCGGTCTCCCAAGTTTCTTCTTCGACTCGATCACTCCTCCAAAGAACCTTTACCATAGGAATCTCCTTATTCCTCAACTTCTTCACTTGTTGACCAACAATCTTCACTGGTTCAACCACGTATTGCAAGTCCTCACGGATCTCTATCGGTGGTTTCTGAAGAATATGAGATGGGTCTCGTATGTACTTCTTGAGCATTGATACATGAAACACGTCATGTATCTTCTCAAGTTCAGGCGTTAACTTGAGACGATAAGCCACGACCCCAATCCTTTCAAGGATCTCAAACAGACCTATGTATCGGGAGTTAAGCTTTCCCCTCGATACGAATCAGATGATGCCCTTCCAAGGAGAAATCCTTAGGAAGACCTCATCACCGACTTCGAACTCCAACAGTCTCCGCCGTTTATCAGCATAACTCTTCTTTTGGTCCTGAGCAACCTTCAGTCTATCCCGAATGATCCTCACCTTTGCCTTGGTGATCTCAACCAGCTCTATCCATTCGAGTTTGGCCTCGCCAACCTCGTCCCAACACAATGGTGTTCTGCATTTCCTCCCATACAATGCCTCATATGGAGGCATGCCGATACTTGCTTGATAACTGTTGTTATAAGCAAACTCCACTAGAGCCAAATGCTTGTACCAACTTCCTTGGAACTCCAGAGCACATGCCCTAAGCATGTCTTCCAAAATCTGTATCACCCGCTCAGACTGTCCATCCGTCTGTGGGTGAAAAGTTGTGCTAAACTTCAGTTTAGTACCCAACTATGCTTGAAACTTTGGCCAAAATCGGGATGTGAATCTTGGATCCCTATCCGAGACAATGGATATCGGGACTCCATGTAATCTCACAATTTCCTCCGTGTAGAGCTTGGCCAATCTTTCAAGAGGATAAGTAATGTTGATAGGCAAAAAGTGTGCACTCTTGGTGAGCCTATCAACCACTACCCATACTGCGTCATAGTTGTTCACTGTTCGTGGTAGCCCCACCACGAAGTCCATGGTCACGTGCTCCCAATTCCACTCCGGGATGGTAAGTGGTTGCAAAAGCCCTGTCGGGTGCTGATGCTCTGCCTTAACTTGCTGGCAAGTAAGGCACCGACTCACATATTCTGCGATGTCTCTCTTCATACCTGACCACCAGTAACTCTCCTTCAAATCTCGGTACATCTTAGTACCTTTTGGATGCATAGCATAAGCTGAAGAATGAGCCTCCTCAAGTATGGACTTCTGGAGGTCTTCATTCTTTCGTATGCATAGACGATCCTTAAACAATAATAGACCGTCATCACGTACTCGGAAGTTCTCAACGGGTCCTTCAAGGATCCTTTCACAGATCTTCTGACATTCCTCATCAATGGCCTGACTTCGACTAATCTCGCCCAATAGGGTGGGCCTAAGCTCGAATTGAGCAATGAGAGCCTCGCACGTGGACACCTGCACGCGTGCCCTCAATTCCTGTAGACAAGTGAGTAGGGTCCCTGACGTACTCTTTCGACTCAGAGCGTCGGCCACGACGTTGGCCTTTCCTGGATGGTAGTCGATGATCAAGTCATAGTCCTTGATCAACTCCATCCATCTCCTCTGCCTCATATTCAACTCTTTCTGAGTGAATACATACTTCAAGCTCTTATGGTCCGTAAAGATGTGACATGTCTCCCCGTAGAGATAATGCCTCCAGATCTTCAGTGCAAACACTACCGCCCCCAACTCTAGGTCATGGGTAGGGTAGTTCACCTCGTGTTTCCTCAATTGCCTTGAAGCATAGGCAATCACTTTACCGTTTGCATCAGTACACATCTAAGCCCTTGGATGCTAGCATCGATGTATATATCATATCCTATCCCCTGTATGGGTAGGGCAAGGACTGATGCTTCGGTAAGTCGTTTTTTCAGTTCAAGGAACCCTTTCTCACATTTGTCGTCCCATATGAACTTGGCCCCTTTCTTTGTGAGCTTCGTTAATGGTAGGGGAGAGCAAACCCGACCCTACCCGATTGACCCGACCGGATATATCCGATTATTTTTTTTGGGTCGGATAACCCGACCCGAATCTCCCAAACCCGACCCGATTTTCGCAACCCGAGAATTAAGCGGGTAGCGGGTAGGGTTACCAATTATGCTACCCGACCCGCCCGAAAACCCGAACTAGCGTAGTATATATACTACTTTGAATTATTATGCATGTTCAAATATCTCATTTATTGTATGTCAATTACCATATTATGCATATTCAAGTAGTTCAATTACCGTATTTGTAAAACTATAACTTTGAATGTTGTATTGTTATGACTTTAAATGATATTTTGACCAATTGTCATTTTATTTATCACAATATCAAATATGTATACCACCGTATATTATTATTTTACATGTTCAAATATGTCGATTATCATATTTATACAACTATTACTTTGAATGTTATACTAGTATAACTTTGAATGATATTTTTACCAATTACCATTTTATTTATCACAATTTTAACAATAATAAAGTAAAATCCGAATGGACCCGAAAACCGAATCAACCCGACCGAAACCCGAACATGACCCGACCCGAAAAACCCGATATATTTTTTGATAGGGTAGGGTTTGAAATTATCAATCCGATACCCGAACGGGTTTACTATTTTCGAACCCGACCCGCCCGAACCCGACCCGTGCTCTGCCCTAGTTAATGGAGACGCCAATAGAGAGAATTTTTCAACAAATTTATGATAGTATCCCGCTAAGGCAAGGAAACTACGTATCTCTTTCACATTCTTGGGTCTCTCCCAATCCATGATAGCCTTTATCTTGGCGTTATCTACAGCAACGCCCGAACCGGATATGACATGACCGAGGAAACCAATCTCTTTGAGCCAAAATTTGCATTTAGAGAACTTGGTAAAGAGTTGCTTTTCTCTTAGCCGATCAAGTATAAGCCCCAAATGATGTTCGTGCTCCTCCTCGCTCTTGGAGTATATTAAGATATCATCAATGAATACTATCACAAATTGATCTAAGTATTCACTAAACACACGGTTCATCAAGTCCATGAATGTTGTCGGTGCATTGGTTAAACCAAATGACATCACAAGAAACTCGTAATGACCATATCTAGTGCGAAATGCACTTTTAGGCATGTCACTCTCCTTGATCTTCAACTGATGATACCCCGACCTCAAGTCAATCTTCGAGAATACTATTGCCCCTCGAAGTTGATCAAACAAGTCATCAATCCTTGGTAAAGGATACCTGTTCTTGATTGTGACCTTGTTCAACTGTCGGTAGTCGATACACATTCTTAGTGTACCATCTTTCTTCTTCACGAAGAGTACGGGTGCTCCCCACGGCGAATGACTGGGTCTGATGAACCCATTGTCCAATAATTCTTGTAGTTGGACCTTCAACTCTTGAAGTTCGGCCGGTGCCATTCGATAAGGAGGAATCGAATTGGGTTTGGTTCCCGGCTCCACTTCAATTACAAATTCGATCTCTCTATCGGGTGGAAGCCCCGGTAGGTCCTTGGGAAAGACGTCCGGGTACTTACACACGACTCGTACATCCTTGATGTCAACTTCTTTCTTTGTATCGTCTACCATGTAAGCAAGGTATGCGTGGCACCCCTTCCTCATCATCTTCTGTGCTCTCATCACGGATATGATACAAGCATTAGATTTCCCCCGATCTCCTTCGAAACATAGCGTGTTTCCTTGATCATCCTCGAGCTCCAACACCTTGGTGTAACAATCTACTCGAGCATGGTGCTTCTCAAGCCAATCCATCCCTAGGATTGCATTGAACTCCAACATGCTTAGAGGTACGAAATCACAAATCAAGGGTTGACCCGCCACCTCAACCTCACATGATGGATAGTAATGATTTCTCTCCACATCGTCTCCTAACGGTGTGGAGACTAGCAACGTTTGCGTCATAGGTGTCAATGGCACGTCAAGGCCCTCGGCGAACGCCTCACTCACAAATGAGCGTTGTGCCCCGGTATCGATGAGGATCCTCGCACACCTACCATTGATCTTTAATGTTACTACATTTATACACCATGTAAGATACATTTTCTAATGTTTTTACACATCTTTAGGAGGTTATTAGGTTCATACTAATGTTTGGAATCAAACGGGGGTCCAAACGTAGAAGAACGGGGCGAAAAAATCAATTTTCGGGTGCTGGGGGTCTACGCACGGCGTGCGTAGGTGGTACGCACGGTCGTGCGTATGTGAAAAAATTGGGATCCGCTACTGCCGTCTACGCACGATCGTGCGTCCTACGCACGGCGTGCCTACCTGCACGCACGGTCGTGCGTCTGAGCGAAATAAGACCGGAGGCTACTGCCTCGTACACACGGTCATGCGTCTGTGGATACGCGCGATCGCGCGTAGTGGTTTTTAGCCCGTTTTGCCCCGAATTCGCGGGGTTTGACCCTAGGGTGGCCCGCACTCAATCCCAACCACTTATATGATCAAAATAAGCCTAGAAATACAGGAAAATAAGTGTATTACCTGCAACGGAGTCCGAGTTTGCTCGCGCATCCGCCTCGGTCATCGCGTACACTCGTGCTTGGGTCCCACCTTGGTTGACGAATGCGGCATGACTAGTGGATGCGCTGTCTCTCCCCGTGCCGCCATTTGACGGTCCCGCACGGTTTCTTCCTGTTGTGGTCCCTGTTCCGGTCCCCGGAGCTCCTCCTCTCAATTGTGGGGAGTTGGCCTTCATGTGGCCCGTATTCCCACATTGGTAACACCTCGGGGGTGCGTTGCACTTCCCGAAGTGGTTCTTCGAACAATTGGCGCACTTAGGAGGCCCCGTGCTTTGAGAGGAGGATGAGTGCCACCGGGCATCCTTATTCTTCTTTGCCGGTGGTGTCGGTGCCTTGAACGAACCACCACCTCCATCGTGGTTATTCTTTTGTGTTTGCTCGGGCGGCCCCAAACTATGCCATTTTCTCTTTTTCGCCTCTTCGGCATCCCTTTCTTTTCTCTCATTCCATTGAGCCTCCCCAAGAAGGCCCTGCTCCACCACCTCGCTAAAGGTCATGTGGCTCGAGTACGTAGCCCGATCATGGATGTTCAAGAGTAAGGCATCCCAAAAGTGCTCTAACATGCGGTCCTCATTGATCGCGTACTCCGGCAAGAACCTAGCCAAGGTTCTAAAATCTTGCTCCAACTGTTTAACAGAACCACCCTCCTTCTGTTTGAGGTTGGTGTACTTCCTACGCTTGACGTTTTTCTCATAGTCAGTGTAGTATTGGTCATAGAATTCCTGCTCAAAATTTAACCATGAGACCTCCCCATGGTATTTCCCTTCTACACTCTCCCACCACGTGGAAGCTATACCCTCAAGCAGCCGTGAAGCAACAGTCAACTTCACGTCCGGTGAAATTTGCATGTCCTTTGCCGCATCCTTCACCTTCTTTATCCAATCGGCGGCAACGGTAATGTCACCGGTGTCGTCAAAGGATTTACACCCCAAGGCCCTAGCCTCCTTGAGGTACTTGGAGATTCTCACACAAAAACCTCCTTCACGCCCATCATGTGACGCCGCAGGAGTGGCCCTTGAAGCTTCCCGGCTTCCTTGACCCGAACCACCACGAGAGCCACACCTTGCTTGGCGCCTAAGGTCTCTCCTCAGTTTCTCTTTTTGATACCACTCAAGCAATTCGCCCATTTGGGCGAACTTGGCATCACTCTCTTCATCATCATCGTCAGTGTACGTGTCACCCCCCATCATATGGGGTCTCCTCATGCTCCGTTTCAGGAACATAAGTAGAGTCATAGTCTTCGGTGTTGGTTTCATACACCGAACTAACGTGGCCGTCGCTCACCGTTTGAGCCCTATGACCTCCACGGCTTCCACGGCCTCCATGGCCTCCTCTTGAGCCCCGAGATGCAGCCCGGCTACCCCTCTAGGATGCTACCGGTGCTTGCCCCCTCGGATTGTTTCTGGTTGCCATTCGCCTACCCTCCATTTCTGAAAGAAATTTGGACGAGTCGTTAGACTAGCTCCTATCAATGTCAATTGACGGAAAGAACGTTATAGACACGTATTGGCCCAAGTCACCGCCATACCAATTGTTAAGGGTACCGTCTTAACAATTAGAGGCCTTGCAACTTAAGCACCAATAGTCCTATAAACGTCAAAATACAATGCTCATGGTTTTCGGTAAAAACTATTTTGCTCATATAGTTTAGAACTGAGATGGCTCTGATACCACTTAATTGTCACGCCCTAGACCGCAATCCAAGCACGTGTACAACCGCCGTATAATTAAGTGACGTCACCCGCGAGTCAACCTCACTTAATTACACAAGGCGTTCGAGAAAATAATACATCCATACTCAGTAGTAAACATACATAACAACATCACATTTAAACCAATGAATAGCGGAAATATTCAACGGTAAGTCATAAGTCACAACCGGCCAACAACATGAGCATGCAAGCCCAAAAATAGTTTATAGTAGAACAAATATCCATGAGCATGTGTTCGGTAGTTTGAAAGAAAATAAGGAAGCACGAACCACGTCTTCCTGAAGTTGATATCACCCGTAAGAAGGTGCAGGTAGCAAGCTCTAGCTTCAACCTGAAAATGGTGAGGGCCCCCAAGGGGGTCAGTACAAGTACCGAGCGAGTAGCAGGCTAAATATAGAATAACTAGCGTTTCAAGTATAAGACCCAAACATAGGGTGATACTTATGTAAATAGTCTTTTCCCCCAAGTTAAGAAATACTTACTAGTATGTATACACTTGGAAAATACCCGATCTGTAGATCACTATTTTGTTTGGGAAAATAGTAATAGTCAATATTCTTGACTAAAAACCTCAACCCACCCATATACCTATGAGTGTATAGGACTCCTCCTTGTCCCTATTTCAATATCATAATCTATGAGTTTTGAAGATCATAATCCCTGGGTACTCCACCAATTTATATTTGAGTGTTAAGGACTTTTAGTCCTAGGGTCCTCCACCAATTTATAATCCGAGTGTTAAGGACTTTAAGTCCTAGTGTCCTCCACCAATTTATAATCCGAGTGTTAAGGACTTTAAGTCCTAGGGTCCTCCACCAATTTATAATCCGAGTGTTAAGGACTTTAAGTCCTAGGGTCCTCCACCAATTTATAATCCGAGTGTTAAGGACTTTAAGTCCTAGGGTCCTCCACCAATTTATAATCCGAGTGTTAAGGACTTTAAGTCCTAAGGTCCTCCACCAATTTATAATCCGAGTGTTAAGGACTTTAAGTCCTAGGGTCCTCCACCAAAATATGAGTGTTAAGGACTTGTAAGTCCTAGGGTCCTCCACCAAAATATGAGTGTTAAGGACTTGTAAGTCGTAGGGTCCTCCACCAAAATATAATCCTATGATCAACCTCCTATCAACTTAGATAGAGTCTATATCATACTTAGTCATTCATAACTAATTCAATACATAACACTTATGTATCACAATCCATGCAAAGCCATGCACTTACATAAATTTATAATTAACTAATATCAACCGATATTAATTAATCCATTATCCATCGGTCAACGTTGCCGTTGACCGCCATTTCAAGCCTTGTACATATCAACTTAATCATCATATAATTAAGTTAATAATATTAATTTGTGCTTCTTTTACACGTCAAACAAATGTGCATTTTATATGATTCTTCATATCATATTCCATGCATAAACAATTAAGTTTCTCTTATACAAACTTAACCGTGTTGGCTAATCACATGTTTAAACATCTTTTAAACATCATTATGAACACATATAACGTTTATTTAGGTAATCTCATAATTAACCCAAAAGTTATAAGATATTAAGCCGTCCACTCACCTTGAACTAGCGTTGTGAAGTTCTACCCCTCTTGGTTGAACTCCGGTGACCTCCGGCGACTTTTGGTCAATTACAACGAAAACTGCGGCGACTTTTCCAACTTTGTGAAATCACTTGAAATACCCTTTACAAGTGCCTAACAAGTTTTTATAATCATAAAACCCATATTAATACAAATAACCTCTAAAAGGTTATTTTCCGGTGAACCGGTCGTTTTGGCTTCTAAGTCCGTTTTTGGACGTAGAACCATCTTCCAACCCATAAATCCATACTCATAACATGTAGAACCATACCAAGGGTCCTTCACATGATATCTACTTCATATGGTAGAAGAAAAAATAAAGGAAGAGTTATGATAAGGTCATTACCTTAATCTTTTTACACTATTAGCACTTTAGCTCCTTTTCTTGGGATTCCTTCTTGTTGAGCTCTCTTCAACAATGGAGAAGGAAGGTGGAAATGTCTCTTGCTCTTGCTGGATGAAGGCTGGCCGAAAATTAGGGAGAGAGGGGGATGGGGGTTGTCCTTTGTCTCATTGATCAAAGAGTATACATGGGGGTCCACCTCTTTTTGTTTGATGCCTTTTATTTCACTTCACACACACCTCTCCCATGCCTCCCTATCACTCCAGCCGGCGAAGCCCTCCATTTGAGTGGCAAAAAACGTGGGTTGGCCCCCACTCATGTGGGAGGTCAACCTTTTTCGTCCCGAAGTGTACAATTTGTCCCGAAAGTTGTATTTTTCGGACTGTTTTAAATATATTTTATTTTATCGGGTCAAATAAAATATATTATGTGATCTTACTCATTATGACATTTATAATGAATATACATTCCTAATCTTTAATCTATAAGCACCCGAAATTCAGTTCGGGCTGTTATCTGTTAAATTACCAGTACCGGTAATTTTGGCCTCTTTTGACCAATCGGTCAACTCTGGGCCTTTCCAGGGCCCAAATGAAATATCCACCACTATATATTTATTATCTAGACCAAGATGAATAAGATATATGGTCTCAGGGATGTCGGGCGGCCCCCGCTCCCGGTGTGGGCCCCACGTGCAATTTACTATTCACGCGAAAGAATTAATAAAAATTTACAACTTCGTAAATTCATAAATCATTCCATAAGGTTTATTACATCATTTACTTAAAATAAATACATTTGGGGACGGTGTTACACTACCCCTACCTTACCCCAACCCCAACCCTACTCACTACCCCCACCCTTACTGCCATCCTACCCCCCCTACCCCTTCCCTACCTCGGTCCCACCATGGTCCCGGCCCCACCCTACCGCCATCCTATCCCAACTCCTACCCCTACCTTACCCCAACCCTACCCCACCCTTATTCCTAACCACGACCCTAACCCCACTACCCCCACCCAACCCCCTACCCCTAGACCTTACCACCCCACCCCGACCATACCCCTTACCCCACCCGCTACCCCGACACCTACGAGTAGGTATGGGTGGGTATGAATATACATTCCTAATCTTTAATCTATAAGCACCCGAAATTCAGTTCGGGCTGTTATCTGTTAAATTACCAGTACCGGTAATTTTGGCCTCTTTTGACCAATCGGTCAACTCTGGGCCTTTCCAGGGCCCAAATGAAATATCCACCACTATATATTTATTATCTAGACCAAGATGAATAAGATATATGGTCTTAGGGATGTCGGGCGGCCCTCGCTCCCGGTGTGGGCCCCACGTGCAATTTACTATTCACGCGAAAGAATTAATAAAAATTTACAACTTCGTAAATTCATAAATCATTCCATAAGGTTTATTACATCATTTACTTAAAATAAATACATTTGGGGACGGTGTTACACTACCCCTACCTTACCCCAACCCCAACCCTACTCACTACCCCCACCCTTACTGCCATCCTACCCCCCTACCCCTTCCCTACCTCGGTCCCACCATGGTCCCGGCCCCACCCTACCGCCATCCTATCCCAACTCCTACCCCTACCTTACCCCAACCCTACCCCACCCT